CAGATCAAGCCATCATTGCACCTTTGCACACGCTTGTAGCTCCACCATGTAAACGTGAATTGAAATGTCCTGTTGAACGCAGTGCGCTATACAAGACTACCGATTTTCCTTTCAAGTGGCGTCGCTTTAAGAGTGTTTTCGGGCTTCATCGAATATAATTTAACCCAGTTAAATGACCTATACCGGCAGCCGAACGCCTGAATAACCAGTGATCCGATGCCGAACGCTCAGCTTTCACAGCGTCCTGTAGCAATTTTATCTCTTCTTCGACACTAAGGGCTACTTCAAATGATCCCTTTTCCTGAGCCAATCCTTTGGGCGACGCTGTGGCTGTGTGTGGCTGTTGATATAAAGTGTACTTACCCCAACCGACCTTCACTGATGATTGGGCTTTTGGGTGAGTATTCCTACCGGATTTTTTTCGACCTCTCTCCAAATTTGAGGGTGTCAGGATGGACTTAGGAATCGACTTGTCCGGTCCCCTCGGTGAACTTTGTTCGTTCGCTGCCATAGTGAGTCTTATCTCTTGGTCCCTTAATCTGATAGCCGGGTGTGACTCCGTGTTACCATGGCGTTGGTGGTCCTCCTCTAGATCAAATCCTTTAAACAGCACTGCGCTTCTAGAAATTCCATCCCACATTCTAACTGTTGAGGTGAGGAATGAAGGGAAATGCTGTTTGTGTGTCCTGAAATTAAACTGGAAACCATTCCTCAGCAAGGATGTTCACTCTTTGTGATTAATTCTTCCTCAAGGTTACAGAGTTGGTAATTTTTTAGATTCTCTTTATTCACGGAGAATTACGGTTTTGTAAAGCGACTGACCGGCTTGTAACACGAGAAAAAACCGCTGTGGATACATGTCGTGTGTGAACAACAGCGCTTTTTCACTCCGTTACAAGTGACGTCTACCACCGCCCCCTTCAAGACATAATCACCTCTCTCACCCCAAAAGCTTGAACTTGAGCTGTTTTGTGTACATATTTACTCATGCGACAGAAATTTCATGTCTTTGGTGGCTATATTTTAACAAAACGTTATGGTGTTTATCCTCTGGCATTGTCATTCATTGACACTTTCATCAAACCGAAGGTAAAATTCTGGATATATTTTATATTACTCACGAGTAGCCCAATTCATTGCCCGGTTGACCTTGGAAGCCTACGGTTGGCTTATAGGAGTTGCGTTCTTGTGCAGAACTCGTGAAGCCAGTTAACTATGAAGGAGTCTGGTTTTCGATATCATTTTGGATCTATGGCACGCAAATGGTCTGTATCCACCAACTCTCAACTTTGGACTCTCAAACCTTTAGTTACTGCGCACACCCTGTTGAGACCAAGTGTAAATAGACAGTAACACCGCACACCGCATGGGCACGCGAGACCGTATTACTGACAAAAAGTAAAGTGGAGGATCGACCACTTCACGAGAAGATAAGACATCCCTGTTCTTGATTAAGAAAATGCACCTTCAAAGCCCATCTCCACCCGATTTCACCATTGCCCAGCTAATTTTTAAACCAACAGTAAGCAGTTTTCTCCCTTAATTCCTCTACCATGCATAAATTTTTATATCTCTCCATCAGCCATCAAGAGCATTCTTGCTGAGCCGAACTATATCTTGGGAAGTTACGGCTGTTGCATATTTGGCACAGGAAGCAATATGATCTGGTCGCCCTGATAATGCAGGTCTGGGCAAACGACACTTACTGTTTTTGAATTTGAACGCAGACAGAACTGGGCATGTGGATGAAGCAGATATTATCAGAACGGATTACGATAACTGAAATTCGTTGTGTATACAGAACGAAGTATCCGTACCTCACCACTGGACAGTTTTTGTTTGGAGAACTCATTATCTATCTACCTTAAGGGAGAAATTGAAGAATATATAACCAAACTTAGTGAGGAAAACGTAAGACAGGGAAAGTCCGCATTTTTATTGGATGTGAACTGGCCAGTTGTCCTTTATGTACTGTACTGGTCTGGTACGACAGCTGTAGATCTGGTGTAAATGCCAGTTTAGCTGGCCTGTAGGTAAATCTCTCTCAAGAGGTAGATTGAGGTAGATGACATACAAGGGATTTCCGGATTTGTTAACGTGGTACTCGCTAAGGAGATATTGGAGTGACTCCAGAGCACTTTCACAGAAGATTTCCCATGTACGCTCAGTTAGTAAATGGACAAAAATGCGCTTCGCCCTCAGCGGAACGAAGATATTGAGAGCTGCATAATGACTCGTCCGAATAGATTTTTAGACGATGAACTGACTACATTCATCGGTTGAACGTAAAATTCAGAAGATGCTGCGGACTGTGATTCACCCTAACCTGTGACGTGTATGGAGCGAATTGTGTACCACTTCTCATCTGTAGCAATCGTAGTGACATAATTCAACCATTGTTGGCAGAGGAGTGTCTCCCTCGTGATTGCTAAATCCCTACCAGTATCACGTTTCCATGTGAATGTTAGTTCGAAGGATACCAAGTGGGGAGACCATTGCGACTCCGTCCACTTATCGATAAATAGTTCTTGTACACTGAAACTGAACACCAGATGTTTGCCGCAGTAATACCATGTGTGATGGTATTTTGATCGGTCTACTTGCACATAGGTTTTACAGTTTAAAGGGGCGAGGTTGCGAAGTAGTGCATGTCGCCTGTGTCATTCTCTCTAAGCACTTCAGCAGATTCGAAAATAACAAATCAGTAACAAGCTAAGTGTGAGCGTGGTGAACGAATCAACAGCCATCTGATCAACTCATAGTGAAAGCATCCGGGCTACGAATATTCAGACACACAATTAACATGGACGTTGTACTTCGGATATTTTCAGTACAGTTTTTAAAATTCCTGGAAGTCACTGTGAAAGAAAATAGCGGGATTATATTTCCAGTTACGTATCGTTGTTAGATGGTGTGAGTGAGGTTCCAGGTTATCGGAAAGTATCCCGATTTTTTTTGGTTCTACGCCGTTCGGTGCTAAAAGTAGGATCGTTCCGGCGTTCCTTCCGACTGGATTAAACTCACAAGCCGGACGGCGGAATTTTTACTTATCCGGTAGTTTCAATCCCCTAAAACTAATCCAGTTTCTTTACTGGGCTTTGCCATCACCATTATATCTGTCTACCTAAGACTCCCAGGACACTAATATCCCCAAATCATAGGAGTTCATGAAGAATGTCCTTATGCCTATATCGCCAGCTGCAGTTTATTGTGTCGAATTTGACCTGTCGCATACCCGCAATAACCGGAGAGAAGAAATCCGACTGATTTGATTGCATCGCTCCTTTAATGGTGCTCTGACGACAATTCGGTCATCTCTATGGAGTGGGAAATTGAGCATGAGCGTGAGGTTATGAGGGGCATTGACGAGATGGCGCATCCACAGGTCAGGTGGATCGAGTGGCTTTTATTGTAGAAAAACTGGTTATTTCAGCTTAATAGAATAAATCCATGTGATCAATCAAACGGTCAAACGTACTCTAAATAGCTTCAAGTTTCAGTTGTGTTCCCGAAATTTACCCGGTTCGATTCATTCCCTAGGAATCGCTGGTTAATGTTTTATTAAGTTGATGTAATCAAGTGATGTATTAACCAGGATGAGCAATGACAGAAAACAAGCTTTTCCGCTAATTTCGTTATTCTAATTTGGTATTTTTTTAACGACATCGCATCTTATCTTCATAAAAACGTCCATCAACAGACTCTAACCGCCGTGCTCAATGGAGTTTCTCAAATAATCCTCTCAGACTCATTAATGATGCTCCGCTCTGACACCTGAATTTTTCTTAGATTCCTTCTGAAGGTATCCTAACGTGAACATCTACTAAAAGGCATCAGGGCATGATTTTTGAAATCCGGGTGTCCAGTGAAACGGTCTTGTTCGATTAGTCCAGCACTTTCCGCATATTCCGCTAAGACATCTGATTACATCTGAGCATAGTTTTTTTGAACAGCCTCGCAATGATGTCAAACAAGTCTGGTTACACTATGGCACTACATGGTGTTGCAGCAGATGTCTGCACAGTGAAGCAACCAGGAACGGAGAAAGTCATCGCCTTTTGGTAATCAGAAGTATATGGAGAAAAACTACTGGCGTAACGGTGATACTACTGACGAGGGAGGCATGGGGGTAGTATATTTTTTTCTTGTAAATTCGCTGTGCGTCTCTTGAGAAGAGAGATCTATTGCGGAATTTGTGGAGTTGTTTTGTAGCATTTGCTTAGATTTGAGCAGCAGTCAATGAATATCCAGGATGACGCGTTCGGAGAAGATGGATGTTCAGTTTTTGTAAACAAGATGCATATGAGAGTTTTGCTTTCCTGTCCAATAGTCTGTAACTAGTCAGTTGGCATTTTCTGATAACTCCGCAGCCTTCTTCCTTTCACTGGTAAGTTCGCTGGAGACTCAAACGAATGTGCAAATGAGTGCATTTCGCGGATTGCTGGTAGTTTGGGTTGAAGTAGAGCCTAAGGTTGACGGAAACTCGGTGAATGCGCCTACCTGATGAACTTAAAGAAGGACGAAACCGGTCGTAAGCTGTCGAAGAGTTTTCAGCAAACTTGTAAGTAGCTTTCTTTAAGAAAATACACTGTGATAGTCCAGATTTTGTAGCAATGAAACATGATGAGGCTCTGGTGGAGCACGTTCGTTTGAAGGGGTACATCACAAAAACGGGAGATTCAGCTAAGATCTAATCGCCTCCCGTTAGAACCGAATTGGTGTGCAGATAAGTGTGGCTCATGGATTCAGTAGTTGTGATGGCGCGTGCGCCAAAGTGGAATTAGCGTTGTTCTTCAAGGAGAGGACGTGTGATGAAGTAACTGGCTAAAGATAACTTCGTACAAACTTGCTTCCCAGATATAAACTGACCTCGTTTTAAAGCAGCATGGACGTGCTCTTAAAATCACGTTCGGAAAATATATGGACTTTCCTAATTGTCACCCTGCACTAATCACAACCGAAACGTCAAATTTAGCTGTAGTTTATGCAAATTGTGATACCTTCCAGTGGCAGCCAGTTTTCCGTACAGAAGCTCAATTTTCTCCAACCACTTACTGAAGACTGGGCGAGATGGCCCAAGTGGCTAGAGTGCGAATTTACTGACCGCAAGGTCCGTGGTTCGAACCCGACCTCTGCCTCATGACTCTCCCTGTCTAGGCTTGAACGACCTGGTAGTATCTCAGCCCTTGTGCAACCTTCGGGTTGAACGGCAGCTGGGCACCGAAAGGGTGCTACAGCTGAGCGATTTTTTTTACTGAAGACTCCATACGGTAGGTACGGATTTAAAGGAACCAACTATATCTTCAATTTTATTGGTTATTCAACTCTGACCTTAACTCACCTGTGCTTTGGTTCTTTAAGGCAATCTTTGCCTAATAGATCGGAAGCACTGTACAGCAGTCTAATTCTTATTGGGAACCAGCAGTGCAGATCGTACAAAACTATGAGGAATACCGAACCCGCAAACTCCCGTCTAGTGGTCTGGACGCTAAACCGTTCGACCAAGGACGGTTGTTAGCAGTGTGATTAATAAACAGGATGTAGTTCAGCTCACCCCTCAGACAATAAGTTTAAATCAAGTCGGCATGTACTGATCGGTTCCGTGAGTGGTGAAAACTGCAGTGTCTACCGACGCTTCTGTATTGATCGACTCCACTTGAAGGATGGAACTCCAACTTGGATTCGCGAATCTTATAATAAAATCAGCGCGCGGAAACATTCGTCTGGGAAGTCATCACTTGTTTCTAAGTCAACCCATACTACTGACGTCATTTGACCTGCTGTTGATTTACAGTACCCATGAAGTATGCCAAAGTCTAGCGCGGCTCTATATTACTTTTTCTGAATAGCAAAAGATAGACAGCTGTATTGACTAAAGAAAATAGGAGCTTACCAACAAGTTCCAACGGAAAAGAAATTGACCCATAGTTCTCATTATTATAACTATGTTTTTTTTAGCCATATGAATGAAAATAGAGAATAAATTTTTCAAAACAATAGATGGGTGTCTCCCAACTCATCTTTTCATCCATTTTCGTCGGAGTCTGTGGTGTGCCGATCGCTTACTCAAGCTGGTGATGCAGATGTGTGAGGTGACATTACGACCAATAACTCGACAATAGTAGAAGAAACAGATGAACATACACGGACATAATCATTGTCACTTTAATGCTGATGAGTTCCAGGCTGTAATGCAGTGATCAATATTACCTGGTGTGAAAAATATCTCCCAAAGAGGCAAAATCCCGTCAAGTCTATCTGTCAAATTATGAAGGCAGGCTCAAACTGCTCAAACTCTAAATAGGTAAAAACAACAGGACTGTGGATCTCATTTCAAAGTTGCTAATGTGATAGCCGGTGTCTTGGAAAGCAGTTCTCTGGTTCTTAGCGGATGAAGCATCTAGCCTTAGACCAAGAACGAGCAACAAGCTTCGGTATGAATGGAAGCCTACTTGTCAGCAGTCGCCGGGGTTGCAGTAACTGAAAATAAGGAATTAAGAAGGTGCTTTATATGTGAAAAACAGGTGCATTCGTTTGTATCAGTTTACTTCACGTCATTCCGAATATCACTGTTTACTCCAGGTACGTTAGGCGGAGTTCACTCGAGGCCTGCGTTGGGCCAAGATTCCTGAAGTTCAAGGCAAACGAATTTTAATTATTTGGCAGATTTATTCGAACACTTTGAGATTTGCCTTCATAAGAAAGCAAAGGAGAAATGGAAACGTTTCCTGAACATCTTTTAACACCTCTCCATTAGAAACTTCGTATTTCCGGAAACTCCTAGTTCTTTACCCTATGAATAACTGAAGTTGCTATGATTGCTGATTTGTTCGCTGAACTCGGCGATTTGATCGGTCTGATTTGAAGTTATGTACAAACAATAGATTTTCAGACTGCCTGCTGTTTCAATATTCTCCTAGTACATGTTTCAGTTGGAACGATATTCAAGCCACACAGAATCAGCGCGATAAAAACTACCGAAGACCACTACCGATTTTGGCCATTTTGGGATCCACCAGGCTCCCTAACTTTCCAGCAAACTCAACTCCTACCTGGACACCAAACAGGCAGTGGACACAGCAAAGACAGTAAATTGTTTCTTACGGAAAAGTACAATTTATTCGCTGTCTCAAGTGTTTAGTTTGCGAGAATGTGAGACACATTCAAACTCTGGATGACATCCCAATGAGCTTTCGGACTGCACATTGTCAGCTGTTTTCTCCAAGGTCATATAGTCGGCAACCCAGTGGGAATTTACAAGGCTTTACTCTGGACACCGTAAACGTCGGGCCCATTATGTCCGAATCCAATTGTGTTGCGCTCGATTGCGATGCGAGAACTCTACCCACTAATACCTCATTTCACATTGTTAGAGTCTGTTCGTCCACTTGTAGATGCCCTCCAAATCCAAGTCATCAACCGAGACGTAGGAAAAGTCCTGTGTTAATTTCAGGTAGCTAAGTTTAGACTCCACTTTCCCACCGATTTTATTCGATTATTCTCAAATCAGTTTTGCACCTCTAGCTTCACCAGCTGTGGAAAAGGAAGTGAGAAACCTGATTTCATGGTGCTTGGAAGATACAAGAATGAAAATGAATGAAGCTTCAGGTGCATCGGTGTCCAGCAAGGTGCAAGTTATTCTGTTTGGTATCCGAGATTGTCAGAAGGGCTCCGCTCGGTTTGCGTGAATGCAGAATCCCTGTCCGAGAGATTTCAGAAATCTTGTGAGTAGCTTCCTTTATGAAAGTATACTACGTCATCTCGAATATCGTGCCGAATGAAATATGGGACGGGCTTTGTGCAGTACATTCAGTTGAAGGATATCATGAACGAGGAATTCAGTTAAGTCTTCTCCGAAAACCCAGCTGATTTGCGAATGAGTGTGCTTGTCAGGATCCCTACTGTTCTTCGACCCTCTAAAAGGACAATGCCCGTCGCAATGCAAATTGAAGCAGGTAGGAATGCGCCGGTAACTTAAGGATTGTTTTGATCCCTCTCACTAGGAAGGTGTTACATAGGATACTTTGTCTAAATGTTTCTCCTGAGACTTCCAAAGATGGTACGGAAGATTGTCAGCACGATCCGCTTCTACGTGCACAAGATAATCAAACGCCGTCATTAAGCGTTTTTTTAAATATACCTGAGTCCAAAAAGAATGTTCTGAATACTTGGGAAGGGACCGAAAGGATTACTTAGTGCTCGGTCCAACTGGCAATAGGGAGGCTCCAATAGCACTCACGTCTCATTCCTGACTGCACACTAAGTGAAATTTCGAGAAATTCGTTTCTTTGGACTGAATAACACGAGGATCACTTGAGGAATTTACCGCGACGCCTTAGTTCCAATGTCGTTTTCGTCATGCGGGTAGTTACGGATACCTCATTTAAGGATTTGAGACTCTTCTTCAACAAGATGGACGGCCAGTATGTTGGACACTCTGACGACTGAACACGCCAGAACAAGAATATTCACAAATGTATGCGAAGGCCTCGGAGTCTACTTGGCTCTAGCACAAATATCTGAGGTCGCCAAGAGACGCTAAAACCCGTCTACTATCCTATCAAGTCATCTGCTTCCACGGTACAACGTTGGAGTATTTCCTCACAACAGTATCCTCCATTGAGGTGCGTCCTGTGAAGTAAAATTTTTCGCAAGATGGACAATTATGTTTTAACGATCGGACTATCATTCTATTCACTTTGTGTTCCAGATTTCTTTCGGAATATATAACACGGTAAATTTGATACCGCAAATTTTAGACTGCCTGAAGTGTTGGAAATATGTTGTCTTTTTTAATCCGTCCAACACCGAAGACGTCCCACTTTCAGTAATTTCAGCCATCACTCTGCAACATGTTCTTTGACGGGTTGCTGATTAGCTAGTCCACATAACTTACTACGAGGACAGAAAAAGGAATAGAGGTGCAAACCTGTCTTTCATCAAACACGAGCAGTATTTCAGGAGATACATTCATTTGCAAACCAATTTGGTTTTCACGAGAGACTCAACTGAATCTCTCATTTATGAAATTCTACAACTGAATGTGCTGCACACAGGCCGCCTCGTGTTTCAGTTAGCACGATATTCGAGATATCGCAATACATCTTCATAAAGGAAACTACTCACACGGTTGCTGAAAACTATTCGACAGCCCCCGACCGGTTTTGCCCTTCTTGGGGTGTAAAGTTGACGGAAACTGGGGGACTGCGCCTACCTGGTGAGCCCCAAGGAGGGCGAAACCGATCGTGGGCTGTCGAAGAGTTTTCAGCAACCTTGTGAGTAGCTTCCTTTATGAGCAGTATTTGTTGGTCAGGAATACGACACAGATACAGTCCTTCCAACACTAGAAAAAAATACATTGTCAACCCGATCAGGTGGTTTAACACAAGCATCGTAACTAGGATCCACTGCACTGAGAACTTAGGAGAAAGAGACTTCCTTATGCTGACCAAGAGCCAGAGGCGCTTAGAGAGGTGAGGCACGCAAAATGTATGTCGTACCTGGAAAACACTTGAAATGCTAACTGCCAAAAACAATCATAATCCTCGTTCAGGATGAACCATATTTTACACGGGAAGACATCCCGATTAAATTATTGAGTTGAAACAGCGGAAATCTCAAAAATTCACAAGAACTTAAAGATAAATTGGTGTCCAGTTGGCGCATCCTGAAAGGAGTTTGAATGCTACTTGAACATCGTGTCTTGAAATCAGGTCACCTTCACATTTCTATCAAGACACTTGGGAATCGTACGGGAAATATAATGATCAACGAAGGTCGGGATGTTACGGATGAATTTATCGGCACAAGGAATAATACACATGCTGTGTGATAGGAGCAAATTTTCACAACATTTCAGTTGGTGAGTGGAATGAATTGATGGTGACTGAATCTTGTGAAGAAAGACGAATCATATGCTATCTGAGACCCACATGGGGCCAAAAAAACCGGCGAGTGAAAAGTGGGCAAAAGAAAGGAGTTGTTTAACTAGACGAGTCCGAATCCTTCGGTGTGTTGGATTGCTATAGACAACTTTTGTCTCAAAACATCCTTTGAGCTGTATAAAGGCAAATCCAGTAGATTGGCACACGTATGTGCGACTGGAAGGTGCTCATCACCGCAGTTCATTGGTTGGATTGTGATCTGGAACGAAACGAAAGAAGTATTTGTCAGTGCGTACAAAACCTTAGTAAGATCACAAGCGCTCAACTCTATGCGACTGCCCAAATCAAAATTTTCTTCTATTGATTATCAGGGTGAATTTTGCAAAGATAAACCAGAAAGCACAACGACGCACTTCACGAGACGCATTATGTATCACTTTACAATCTTCACGAAAAACAGCTTTTGCATGACTGAGTATTCGATATATTTACATAAAACAATGCGACCTACCCGTAAACTAGTGAATCCAAAGAGTGGGACCCGGTCACAGCCAGTGAGGAACCGCAAGAATTTTTTCTTGTCTTCCACGCTAAATTCGACAAGAAGCACCTCCCAGAACCATTCGATCACAGGATGGTGGTCCCAGTACACTCCCTGATAGGAGGTATTCTGGCGCAACTCATTCCAATTGACTACCTCGGATCCGACCACTAAAGACTGGATGCAGAAAACACCGATAGGGAGCGGATGTAAAGCCGCTGCCGACTGTAGATAGGGTTTTGATGTAACGCACAAGCCACCAGAAATACCAATAGCTTAATGGATGAAGAACCGTTTAAAAAAGCCTTTGATCAATAGAAAACAACTGGTAAAATAATTAGATGAGATCAAGTCTCAACAGCTGTTGATACGATGAGATGAGCTGCTGAGCAAATAGCAGAGGATGGTTACTATCTGCATAAAACAACCCAGCAGAGACCGTGATATCAAAATGTCATTGTACAACGAGGAATGAGTCACACAAGAAGAAATTGGACGCTTACTCCCCAAGCTAACAGACTTCATAGTTACCGGCCGGTGATTGTGTATGTTCATCTTGTCTTAAAAACACAATCCCCAGAACAGAGATCATAATCAAAGACAGAGAGTGAACTTCACCACCTTTCGAGGGACTTGCACGTAAAAAATTGTTCAGCAGTAACATCCTTTCGGTGCCTTGCTGCCATGCTACCAGAAGGAAGCATGAGGGCTGGGATACTGCCAGGTTGCACAAGCCCAGAGAAGGGAAGTCGAGATGCAAGGGTTGGGTTCGAATCACGGACCTTCCGGTCAGTAACACAACCATGTCGCCCGTAAAGTTGGGACTGAGAGGAAACGCGTGACGTGGACTTACCGAGAGTGGCCTGTCCCAGAAAAGCACTATACTGTAACGGATATGACAGGTAAGTGATTCAGGGAAATGGGAATTCTGTTGCTGACCTCAACCGCCTTGTTTGAAACAAGGAGCCTTAGTTAAGACAAGTCCCTCCCCCGTTATGTCCATATATTTCACAACTCAGAGACTAAGCCACTAGGATAGTTCGTTATAATACAATACAATAGTGAAATTTCGACGACAGTTGGATTGAGAAGGGCTAAACTAACGAACGGGGCTCCCAAGAAGAGTGGTTCATGTTTAGTTACTACACTGAATTAGTAGATTAAACATGCGGGGTACAGTCAGACCACCAGTGCGCCTGGCCGAACTTCAGTACTTTTCTATCCTTTCCAAAGTTGAGGAAACCAAGTTCTCTGAAACTGATAAGGAATCCTTGTCTGAATTTCAACTGAATCTTTGTTCCTTCAGTTGAATGCGATGCGCAAAGGTCATCCAAGTTTAATACCTAGGCAACTCACTTCTCAAGGGTTATTTTGCCGCCAGAAGATTTCACGAAAGTGTCCTTCATTGGACTGCTCCTTGTAAACTTTGTGACGTGGTTGAATCTTAAAGAACTGAGTCCCAGCTAGTGTGGCCTGCCGGATCCGCACAGTACTGATGTGCGACCATCACGACTAGATGAAGGTATATATGTTGAACCTGCGAAACCAATCCAGAGTGTCGCATACTACATTAGGACATCCCAAGATGAAACCGGGTCGCTATAATGGCTACGTCGAGACCGCTTAGGAAAAATATGTGGATGCCGACACAAAGTAGGATTGGAACAATCCTTGGGGATCTTCCGCACTGCGAGCTTTGTCGGCCTAAACAAGGCTAACTGATGTCTAATCTGTTCACGATGATTTTCTTCTTTAACTCATAATCCTCGAGAAATAAGGACTGCCCATACTCACGTATGGTGTTACACTTGTCCCCGCATTGTGACGGTGTCCACAACTCAAGAAAAATAACATTATGCCTTTTTCATGGCCTGATATCGTTTTTCTGCCTGTCCTGATGTTGTGCACCGAAACCAGGAGCAATACGATTGACTATGCTCTATTCTAACCGCGAAACACTCACAATCAACTTGAAAACACCATGTACAATGTACTATGTTCATGCACCGTTGGACAGATAATATCAAATGGTTCCAAACTATTACAACAATCGCAGTTTAATTCTGAAGACTAACTGATAATCTTGGTTAAAGTTGACAAGGCTCGAATTTTTTGATCGAAATTTGCGAAGTTATTGTTGACCTTACACCGAGGGATAAGGAACGTCACGAAGAGACTGGACCTTACTGTGGTGTGACGGTTTGCGCACCTCAGCGATCCACTGAGCTATATTGGGGGGTGTCCCCGCGACACTCACAGATTTTCTCATACCGGGTTGGTTAGTGGTTAGAGGTCTGACGAACACAGTCTCCTGGCCCTCCAGGTTGGAGGTTGGAACATGTGGCAACTTGTTCCGTAGAAATGGTAATGCATTTGCATTTCACGCCAAACACCGCTACCTTGCGGTTAGGCTTTTGAGCCAAAGGCTTTGACTGAGGACCCTCATCGCCCTCCCGTGGTCGCCCTGGCAGCACCCTAGCCCACGTACGACCAGTACGGCAGTGAAGCATCGGTCTTGAACACCGATATCATGCTGTCGATGACAGGGATAAGAGGATCCTTGTATTGACAAACAAGGAATGAAGGAAATCTCGTGGTAGCCGCGAGCAATGTAAGATCTTGAGCTATTCAGAACAGCGGATGCATTTCCTCAGCAACGATCGACTCGCTCCGAATGCTTCATTTAGCTGATAAGCGAAAGGACTTCACATGAGTACAAAGCATCATTAGCAAGCTAAAAGAATAGTGATCCTACATAAACAGACCAAGTGACACTGAGGATTACTGCGGTAGTTGGGAAAAGTGTAAAAAACATAATGCAGGAAACTTACTTGCAGTTCCATGGGGCGGAAGAACTTGAGCGCGTGTCCCGCACAGACTTGGTGGAAGCCACGTTCAAATGCGCCATACGGAGCCTCACACGATTTATTGAATACATAGTCCACGTATTTCTCCACATATAAAGATTTATTCTCGTGGGTCACTTCAATGTTTGAGCCATTTTCGACCAGGTCGATATGGCGAGTCTCACCAAAGCACTCGACATCCAGCTACCATACGACGGTCGGTGAATAGGTACAACGGGGTAAGGAGGCAGGAAAGAAACGAGTGATGGCAATCAGTCATAAATCAACCGCATGGAAATGAGAGAAATCAAAGTCACCGGGAAAACTTCATTTTCATGGCAGCCGATGACCCGTAAGTGTATGGTATGTGTTTTATAGTCATCGAGAATTACGTTGAGCAGATAGCCATTATGAGGGGAGCATCCATTGAGATAATCGAACGACATCTAATGTCAACTACTGGTAATCTAAAAATCTTAACCACCAGACGTAAAGTAACATTTATACAACGGAATTGTCACCGAGCGAATCGGCTCACGAATACTTAAGCAATCTTAGTAATAAAACTAGATCGATCATCGTTGAGCCCACGGTCCAGCTCACTGCAGCAGACAACCCAAGGGTTCATCGCCGGATTTTGACCAGGCGACTGGTGATCTGACTGCCCGGCTTGCAAATATCTCGTCACCAATCGAAGGGGGCATCATCAGTATAAGATTCGGCTGGTACTTCCTCCATACTCGCCTGGGCTTATAGTGAATATCTGATATTTCCTGATGGAGGGCGCTTTGTGGCAAGCTTGTTGATCTATTTCCAGACTGTGTTGCATCGTGGACTGTATTTCTTACTCCACTGATTCGTTGGGTAACCAAGATACCAGAGCTTTGGGCCCTGATCTGATAGCCCATTGGCGACTTGTGTTAAATCGTGGTCCGCATTTTCAATGGTAAAACTAGTGGCTTCCTCAGGTTGCGGCCATAACACATGCCTTTCATTCGTTGTCCTCATCATCTTCACATCAGTTGAGCGCTGTTCTGTGAAGTCTCTTACTTTCGACTTTCTCAGTCGAAAATAAGATATGTCCAGAGGACGAAATTGTTTCACACCTGGTGGATTGGCCATTCAAGAATATGAGCTGAGCGCTGACATAAAACTGAGCAAAAATATGGAGATACAGTAAGCCAACACAGCAGACCCTCCCCAAGACGAAAAAACTCGCAGTTAGCGGCACCTTTCAATTCCCTAAGAAATTAAGGACAACTCATTGAACTAGATAAGAAAGAAACGAAAGGCTCCTCCAACCAGACAGTTTAATGCTAGATTACTAGTTCTCCCACTTAATATCCACTTACGATTCACTCAGTGCATGAACTTGCGGTGAATGAGCTCAGGCTAATAATGTTATGATAAAAAATTGAGCACAGATCAGCGTGTTTGAGGTACTCATAGCTTATGACGATCCTAATTGTCCCAACAGGATACTTTTAGTGACAAGCGTCAGCTGCGCAGGAATACAAAATATGCACTTGCGTATTCACAAGAAACAGCACGCGTGGTTTGATCTTTGTGAGTAAAGAGGTACCTGTTTGTTACACTTGGCATAAATTGCGCACTCTACTGATGAGTTTCTGTCGTTCATGGAGTTTACTAGCACTACAGCCATCAAAGTGGGGTCCACACCCCACGGTGAACCTAACGCTTCGCTGAAATACACATAATCCACGTGACAGCAATGACCAGATGACATGAGCGCATCATGCGCGCCCCTGAAAAGCGAAACAAGAAGCAGCAGCGAACAAGCTCGTGGACCGGATCCACATAAGTACTCAAGGACGGGCGACACGCAGCGATTGGTCTATGGCACCTACAACTAATGGCGGCGTGGTCCATCTGTGTTGAGGGTTGACTCCCATGCGGTGGGTATCATGTAGCCAAGGGGTTCCCGTCACTAGATATAAAGAGCCAGTGTTCAGTAGATAAATGCAACAGAATGGGAAAAAGTAGGTGAAAGAGAAAGAATGGAGGCGTCAGCAGTAGTCTGTTTTCGCTTACCCGCCTGCTGTGTGCAGCAAGTAAGGCGAAATGGCTGACGGGATCAGGTGACGACCAAGGTGACATGAGATGATTGTGCGATACGTAGCTGACCCAGGCCTAGACCGGAGGACAGTTAGGATCTTCAACCGAAGCCTTCGTCTCAAAAGCCTAACCAAGAGGCAGTGCTGGTTGACATAGGACCGTCGGAGCAGCCTAAATCTGTAAGGAGCAAGTTGCCATACATACTCCTACCAGCAATCCGGAGGACCAGGAGACTGCATTGGTCACACCTCTACCCATTGACCAACCTGGTATGAGGCTCTGTATCACACGTACACCCCTCAATATAGATCAGTGGGTTATGGAGGTGTACAAACCGTCATCCGGCGGTAAGGTCCAGTCTCTTCGTGATTGATGATCCTAAAGAAGGTGCAAAGTTATAAAGTGGTTAGGCATACGATGGCTGTGTTTCGTCTAGGACGATCCAAATCATGCTTGTCAAACGGGTATGTTTGAATGCCGTTGCCTTGATCGAATTGCTAGGGTGAATTTCGCGTTGGCCTACTTGAGTTTGTCCTAAGGCACGGCTATTGAAGGAAATCAATCGCGTGTGCTTTGACGTCATCGCTGAAGCTAACGAGGGTCACGGTTGTGAAACGGTATCTCCTTCGAATGTTTTTTTCATTGTAGCCACCACAGTATAACAAGCATTAGCTGGACAGTGTTTACGGCGAGGTTCGTAGACTTGTCTATTAGTGAACTGGAACCGATGGAGAAGCAAGTAAAGTTAGTCAGCAGATGTTTGAGACAGGTACTACGCTCACCAACAGTTTATCAAAGTACTGTTTGCGAGGGACAGGCTATGAAAAGGCAACGCCTAATAAAAGCGCTAGTGTGCCATACTACCTTCGTGGCCTCTGCTGTGGATCCCAAGTGATTTTCTTTGACACCGGTGACAAGCATGTTACCAATTCCTAGCGGAACTTTCTGTCTGAATCCTATTCATCGTTCACTGGGCCTTACGGTGGGTGAGATTCGTGAGGAATTTGCGTCAGTTGCTAATTCGGAAATCTAAGCAAAATGGTGGTCAGGAGTGAATTAGCTTGAGGGCGCAGATTACTGCTACTACCCTGCCGCGCAGGGCGGCTTCCTTAAGAGCTACATCGCGCTGTCGACGTGCATTCGTTCCCGACTGTTTTGGGTGCTTTAATGATCACTATTATTTCCAGAGTCGTCCGAGTCCATGAATACGAAGCTCCTGATTGGAGCTGCCGACACAATAGAGTGATGCGACCACTAAGCCCACATATTCCTAGAGCGAAGAACAGAACAAACGTATATCAAGACCGTCTTGTTGCGCGACTTTCGAAATTATACGGGGGCATGCTTTCGTTTGTCTGACTGCCTTCCGTAGCAACCGAGTGCCTTGTTGTCACGAGAGAAATAAATTTCCACGTCTGATACTTACAGAAAAGGTGAGACAGAAAGTCTCAGCAACATCTTGTCCCTCGTAGTCCAGCAGCTGTTGCAAAGAGCGTCCAACCACAGGGTCCAACTCCATCAAGTCGTCCAGCACCGGGTTGTCTCCAAGCAATTTACGAAACATGGCCAAGGGGAAAGCTAAGTCCACAATAATCGAATTGTATATGGCCAATCCGCACAAAATCCCAATGAGTAGAAACACGTTGTCCGATTCCATCGTCTGTAACCAAGAGAAAGGGAGAATAGGAACAAATCAAAAATCAGAAGCGATAACTGATACCCCCGGATGTGTTTCGAAGGTAGGAAGCATACCGACTAAAATCCAATTCCGTCAGAAACCTAGTGTTTTGTGACGTCTTGCCAAACTAACACATCATACGCAACAAAAAGTACTGGTGAAGTTTGATATGGTGTATCAAGTCTGATCGTAGACGCTTGAACCAGTAGGCTGAATTGAATCCGATGTTGACAAAGCATGGTATCGTCAAGAGGGCACAAAGCAATTAGAATGCTTGACAACTCTGACCACTTAACAAAGACATAAGGAAGCCGAAACACTAGTGTTCGAGGTGTTACATACTGCAGTGTCTATTATTATTCTTCTGTAGTGTAAATCCATTGAATTATTCTAGTGTGCTCATGAAAGTACCAGTAACGGACAAAGCGTAACTATGGCTTCTACATAGAAAAACTGTCAGTAAACAAAAGATGGGTACGAAACCAGAGAACATATTGCTTCTGACAGTCGTTCAGATGTACCACCCTTTCGGTGCCTAACTGCCGTGCCATCCGAAGGAAGTACGAGGACCGGGATACTGCCAGGCTGATCAAGCATAGATAGGGGAAGTCGAGAGACAGAAGTTGGGTTCAAAACACGGACCTTCCGGTCAGTAAATTCGCATTCTAACCACCGAACCATCTCTTGATTCTGACAGGTTGAGTTAAGAGTCCCAATACCGAATGCTCGTTCCAGCGAACAGTACAGACAGGTACAGTGAAACCCCACCTGAAGAATTTTTCGAAGAGCTAAATGAATTGTCGATTAAATACTGAACACCACCAAAAACGTACCAGAAACCCATCCAGCACTGACCCCGATGTTCAAACCAGGGATTAATGGGGTGGTCACAACAATAAAAAAAGTGAGTAGAAACAAGATAATACAACCGTACAAGGCTTCGTGTTTACACATTGTAGAAAATGTGTCCACTCAAAAAAATAATTCGAAAGATCACTCCCGGTTACATCTTTCACGTTCGTTTTTATCCTTGTTTATTCTCTTCTCCCTTCTATCAGAGTCGACCGACTCTTAAACGTTCCTTGTTTCTCTGCTCTGCATCCTCCTGACTCTACGACTATTTTGCTCACTTATCAAAAAAATGTCCTGAATGACTCGAAATCCTTTCATTGAGATTTTTCTTCCCTTGAAATCTTGTTTGAGGGCAGTTCGCCCTTCCGCTGACGAGTGATTAAAAACATTAAACACAGGGAGATGAAACCTGTGAACCGGTAACACGATCAAATAGGAAAATAAGCAGTGGCTGAAACTTACAAACTCATTGAACCACAACATGCGTGACTCTGGGTAACAGCGGAACATGCCGTAGATTGGGCTGAGAAGGTCGCGCATCACCAGGAGGAAAAACTCCTAAAGAAGAGAAAAATAGTCATGGTCAAATGAAACCGATTAGACTGCAAACGATGGCATGAACGTGAAAAAGCTCTTCGTTTCAGAAGGGCATATGTATGGAAGAATTTGAGCAGGAAGCTTTAGCCGGATTCCCATACCCACCAAAGATATTCTGGCGTTACGTAGATGAGACTTTCGTCGTGATGAAACGACACAACGTCAGTGAGTTTTACAACTATCTGAATGAACTTAGTCCACACATCAACCTTAGTATGGGGAAGCCTAACAATACTGGGACGATGTCGAACTACTCGCCTGGCCATCCGACGTCGGTACTCGTCAGTATTACCTCATCAATGTTTAATCAAGTAAGGGTCCTGTGCAAAGAAGAAGCTGATCAGACAGCGGCCAAAATTGAAATAAAGAACAAACTCCGGAGTAGTGGATACCCAGTTAGCTTGTTTCTGAACGCCAGAAAGAGGAGTGGATCACAAATCCAGAAAACCGAGTGGATAAAGCCATTTCAAACCTTGATATAACACGATACTTAAAATGTAAGGGCTTTCTTACTGGGAAACATACTGGTGTTCTACATAATGCTACTCCATTTCATAATAATTGATATACAATTGATGTAGTCACAGACAACGGATCATATGTGTCATGGCCACTTCAAATTCAAGTGTACCAAGTGAGAGAATCCAAAGAGAGAAAGCGGTCTAGAAAGTAATTGGGAAAAAGTGAAATAATTAAAAAGTGCGAAAAGCAACACCAGAGGAAAACACAGGAAGCAGATAGGATACAACGACAATAAAATGAGAAAACCGAAATAAAGCATTACCTTCATCACTCCACCTTCGTCAACAGCTTCTTCACCCGCGAATTGCACCTGAAAAAGCGAAACAGTTCTTCGAAGCAGAGAGGGGACATGAGACATTCAAGCGTCTAATATACAGAGATGTAAACAGTGCCCAGCGCAACGTATCAAGACACGTAGCTGCCTCTGTTTCGGATGAAGGGAATTAAACAGAACATGTGATGTGCAAAACTAAGTAAAACGGTCTTTGATGTATTGTGCATCAATGCATGATCACCATTGGTAACAGTAGCGGCCCTATTGAGAGCTGTTGCTTCAACGGCCCACAAAATGTCAATTGATTGGAAGAGAACCCTATTATGAAAATAAAGCGGGACAGCGTTTGGTACTCGTTTGCTACGATTAGTTGTGGTAACTGCGACTAAAGCAGTTGGTCAATCTTGAGAGGAAGCGACAGAACCTTGTAGTGTCGTTAATGAAGCATACCGATGGCCATATCGATCCCGTCCTCGAAAACGGATCGCGGTCGCAGCATCCTTTTCGCGATATCTGTGGACCCATAACAATACCTGAAAAATACGTTGTTTTGAGACAGAAGACCTTGGAGTCATGTGTGCTCTTACACCGATCCTGAGTAGCCCTTAAATAAAGGCCGTGCTAGTGAAATAAATCGACCGATGACTAAGCTTGGGCATCTAAGGAAGGGCACCTGATCAATCAGCACCAGAGTTTTGACACGATAGACTACCGGTTGGTTGTTGGTCTGTCTACCGAGGTTGGTAGTTGGATTACAAACGTTTCATCACCTACCGAGATGACATCACCACTCAACCCCGCACTGACGATCTTACTTCGATTGGTGATGAAACGTTTACAATTCAACTGCCAAGCTCGGCAAACAGACCAACAACCAAGCAGCGCATCTGAGCTACATAGATTTCGCAGCGTCAATAAACTACTGGTGCATATGAACTCGGAAACAAACCCCACGAGTGATGCAACGCAACTGAAATAACCATAAACAGTCGTAACGTTCTAATTCCAACAAACCTGTTTAGGACGAAAAACGAAATCCTGATACAAGCTGCATTCAAGCAGATAATAAAGTTGATAGAAGAATACCACGTTCATCCGATTGAGTGAATATTAGAAATCCGATCAATATCATCCATACTATACACACAATGGGTGTTTTTGGGTGAAAAAACGTTGCTGGCCGTTCGGGTGCCGATTTACACTGGGGGTCGGGGGGAGGGAAGAGCTACGCATTGAGATCAACAGCCTGAATGAATGCACACCACTGAGCGCGCGAAAGGATAAGCCCTCAATGTCTAACCATTGGCGTATCTCATCTCGGGTTCCCCACCCAGGGAGACGGTAATGACTAGCACTGTTGTATTTGCTGGTAGTGGCAGTCATACTTCGCTGCCGAGCTATTGATTAACCTCCCTTGGCCCATTCCCACCGTCCGAGTGGTTGTGCCGAAAGGGCTCTGAGAGAGTCTGTCAATTGGCATACGGAGCATGTGTCCAAGCCGGCACAATCTAGGAGTGTGTCCAGTTCATCCATCGTGGAAGGTAATTCTTCTGGAAACCACTCGACATACTGATGGGAAGGCAGTTATAACTGAGTATTATGAGAACCTAAAATCGTGACCAAAGCAAAACGCAGTATTCCATTTCCTAGCGGTCAGTCATGAATAAACCAGCACGATTGTGTTCAAAAAGATGATAAAAAAAGAAGCGATATGTATAAAATTCGATTGCGAAGAGACACTCACACGCAACACTTTCCGTAATTCACTCGGATTGGCCACAGTTAAGTACGTTAATGTGTCCTGAATAAGGAAGTCACGACGAACTGTAACGTGGAAAAACGGGCTGGTGGAAGTAAACACAGGATATCCTAGTAGCGGAGACATCACCGATTGGATAAGTGTGTTTCGCCCTGCTTGATTCACTGCATTTTGCATGCTCAAAGTGGCCTCCAAACTGAGCAGTCGAGCTTTGGTGGGGGCGTCGAAAATGAAGGGGTAATCACAGAACGAGAAGAAATGCTGAAATAAAAGAAGACAGGAGCAAAACATTCATATACATGGGTAGCTCACCGATCCGAGAACCACATTATCTTTCAATTATGCTGTCAAACACGACCCACAGAAAGTGAAAGGGAACACCGGCACATTGGGAGGACCAGAGATGTCCCCCGCTTCTTAAGTTTATTGAGATGGTCCGAATGGTTCGCACAAGCAGTCAAGCAGTACAAACTCAGCAAATTTTTGGAAAGTCTCAAGAAAATCAATAGTTCAGACCATATATGCTCCAACAGACGCCACAGGTGTACTGCTTTCAACTACTGCTCGTCTACAGCTACACTCTATGATCCACCGTTAACTATTTGCGCCACCACGACTCCTCTCACAGTATGCACAAACAAAGAGGAACAATGGAATTAAGTAGACAAACAGTATGTGGAACGCAAGACTGCTACTCCGTTCGAGCATACAATCAACCCATCTGCGAATCATGAAATCAGAACGTTGCAGACCATTTTCAACTTTCAGATTTTGCAACGGACGCCCGGTCAGAAGGTTATCCAAACTGCCGGGGCTGGAATCCGACCCACTAGGTTAGCAATAGAAACATCTGGAAATGAGCAATAAACTACACTTTGGACGGGCTGTCCAAAAAATTGGCAATCCCAACCTCTGATGCCTATCCCTTTCGAAAACAATAAATCACGTGAGTCGTACATCAACGAAAACGGTCTCATTGCAATATTACCATAATATCATTACTTGAGACGGAACTCTTGCATCAAATTAATCAACATGGATTTTGTCCAGGAACGGGCTGCATTGACCAAATCATTATTTGGCGACATGATCCCAAACGCCATCTCAAAGCAAAAGCCTGCAGCCGCATAATTAATCGACTTTTGCGACACTTCAGCAAATGAATCGTTTTGGACTGACAGAACGATGGTTTAACGCCGTCATGCCATTCCCTGATGCAAGGTTGTTCCTGCGTCTACAATGAACTCTGTGTAAATCACGGCCTATGTAAACGATGTTCAGCATCTCCAGACGTGCTCAATTCTATCGTGGCTCGGATGAGGCACTGAGCAAATACGATCGAGACCAAAAACGTCAAGCCTTCTTCACCTATTCCGCAATTTAAGTCATTCACATCATAGACAGGAACATCAGTGCTTACACTGAAGCATCACTACCGTAAGTACCAGTTTATTTAATTATATACAGAACCTTGAGCTGAAAGGAGTGAATGAGGGAAGAACCTGGTATTAGACTATCATGAGCATTCTGAGACCTAGAACTACAAGCACTCCATCACACAACCTGGAAATAAACTGACAGCACAAACGCCACTGAAGCCAATTAGGCGGCATTTCTCGCAATGTCACCAACCAAAAGCAGGAGGGGCCACAGGGACTCCATGTTGTAAGACGGACAGCATGAACAACGCCCATTTGTTAAAGACCGACAGTCTGCATTAGGTGTAGCGGGCGGCCCACCAAATTGTTGTCCGATGTATTGCACCAAGCGCTCCAAACAGAGCCACTTTGATTCTTTATGGCTTCGATGGTAAGAGGCCTCCGAGGACTAGCCGAACAATCTGCAAACGTGACCAGCATTTTTCGCACCTTCCACTTCTTCGGCCTTTCGGATTCATCGAGCATCCCGGTCTGCACGGACATCCAGGTTGATCTGGCGTCGGAAGATGCAGCGAATCGAGTTGTGGTTTTGACCAGGAGGAATTTGTCTCCGGGATCCCAGCGAATCCAAGATCCGATCAGAGATCCAATGTTTGGATGAGATTGGCTGGGTTGTAGCGCAAGTAGAACTTCTGGCAGGGGCTACGGATATTTGTCTCCGGGATCCCAGCGAATCCAAGATCCGATCAGAGATCCAATGTTTGGATGAGATTGGCTGGGTTGTAGCGCAAGTAGAACTTCTGGCAGGGTAGGGCTACGGATATTTGTCTCTAGCAGTCGTTAATAGCCGACATCGGGCTAGCCGGCAGAGCTATTTCTGATAAGTTTATTTGAGCTCTGGGTCCACCAGCTTTTCATTATTAAGTGAGATGTTCACGTTTTGTGTACAACTGAGGAGAGCAATGAAAAACAGCAGCGGACAAGTGCACAGTCAGAGTCCACGCAGGTATTTCAGAAAGAGCGATAGGCAGTGACTGACCCTCACCGCCGACGACTGATGGCGATGTGATCTATTAAGATTTGGGATTGATTCGTTGTAGGCATCATGCAGTCAAAGGATTTTCTCCGTTTCAAAAATTGCCGCTACGAAGTGACAGTCTGTGGTCGACACACATTTGCGACAAAGGTCTTCAGTTGCCTGTTCGTCCCATGTCTAATCCAGGAAGACCACCCAAATGAGCCTCAGGAGCTCTACGCCAGCCCACCTGAGCGTTCACGTCACCAGCAACCACAACATTTGGGCTTTTAACCCAATGTAAAACAGCACTTAGAGCATCAAACGGAATGCTCTTGGCAGATTCACAGCCACAGTCCCGCACACGAGATGGGAGTGAGGACCTAAGACCTGTCATTTGCTGAGTGTATTTCTGAGGCCGAACAACCTGACCCAAAGGCCAACAGAGATAGGTTTTTAAATGGGGTGCTTGTATATGTCCCGAAAATTTTTCCGATGTCATAGCCGCAAGTAATTGTACCACTAAATGTTTTTAAGTTGAAGCAAGCTGAGTGCATCGACTTAGTGCGAGCAAATTAATTGGCATAAGGAAGCCACTCATGAAACTTTCGAATTCACCACGTTCATGATGGTTCTGATTGGTGATATTGATAAACCACATCACCGTCGTGTTCACGGAGTACGTCATTCATTGGATTGTGGATCAGCTTTCGCGTCGGTTTCGATCCCTACTGAAGGACCGTAGTTTGGAACATCGACAGAGCCGGTTTTCAGCCTTATTTGACAGGCTGTCATGAGGTTGACGAGCTTCACAACTTGGAAGAAAGCCTAGTGCGAAAAGTCTCCTTCTGAAACACGAATCACCAGTTCAGTTCAAGTTTTATAATCTCGGAAACTGTGCACAAGAATCTATTTTGGAAGATATGCACACAAGTATAGTTTGCTACTTCGCAGAGGACATTACTTGAACTGGAACTTAGGCTCACAGGGAAAAACAACATTCAGTTATCCAGGGTTTAGATGAGTAGTTCGCAGTGAACTCATTTAACAAAGAAATATCCAGATTATGGCCCAGAGATAGCTTACTTTAGCCAACAGCTACCTGCCGACAGAAGAGATTACTTCTTCCGACAAAAAAAATCATAAAACCATCGAGTAAAACGCCAGAAATTTTGATCAGATGAGTAGTAAAATCTAGTACACTAAAAAATTCTCATAAAATTCCCAGAAATTCCAGTACATTTCAATCAACAAACAAACGAGGAAAGGTGACCTGCCTGCCAGTATTCTCGCTGTCTACACCCTCGTCATCACCAATATCACATTTTGTCACGAACAGCAACAAACAAACGTAGCGGCCACTCTCCTTCACCGGATCACACTGTAGTTCGCCAGCGAAATGTCCGACTGGTGCGTATCACACGGGCGACGAGATGAACGGACCATAGGACAATTCACTAGCTTTTCCAAATGAAGTCTAACGTCACAGCCTATTGCATCAATGGACGCATAAGGCCTCAAATATCGAAGATAACGTTGAGTTATCGCCTTTCACTGGCCACTGCAATGACATCCCTCAAACCATCCAGCTAGCTGGCGGAAGCGTGGCACAACTTAAACACCAAATATTGATGACTGCTTTTAAGCAGATCGAGCATCTGCATCCAAAACTGGTGTGATGACAACAACTAATTTATAGAACCACTGGCAGCTGACATGAACAAACAGCGTGCTGCGTCTCTTGTCCAACCAAACAGCGAGATCAAGAAACAGAAGGTAGGTGTTTGAAATGATGTGAATCAGCAACCCAAAGCATCACATACGGACGGTGGAACAAGATGGGAGAATTGACAGTCCGGTATCAAAATGAACGAACATTAAAAGCAACTCAAATCCATGGACACGGGAGTGGAGATTTCGCTCGAAAAGATACGGGGTACACGAGGCAAGCGCTGCAACAAACTGCTGAACTGACAACCTTTGTCGGCTGCACTGTACTGATTGGACTGCCTCATCGAGAGATGAAACGGCCCGTGAACCTTCCTCCGACCATTGAAGGGATAAAACAAACGGACAGCTGGAGAGGACATGCTAGCAGTAAATACTTTCAAGTATGGTGAGTCAACGCAATTTCAGCTGACCAACATTATCTGGCAGAAAGATTAAGTCTTACCAGAACTCAAGGATGCTCTAGTCATGCCCGTCTACAAAGTAAAAGGAAGCAAACCCTCATATAACAACTATAAGGGCTACTCTGCTGAGCTGTGCTGGTAAGCTCCTAACACGGGTGTTGCCTGATTGCTGCAATTATTGAAGCACACATCCCCGGGGAACAGTGTGGTTCCCTCACTGGTCGCAGTTCAGTGGACTTGATATCTGCTGCAACAAAGCTTCCAGAGAAAATTTCGTAAGCATTGCTAACCGCTCCACCTCCTCTTCACAGACTTCACAACGGTGTTTGACTCCGTCAACCGCAAAGCTTTGCAGACAGTTCTTTCCAAACAAGAATGCTTCCCAAAACTCGTCAATCTCATCCGAAAACTTAGTCACATTTGAACTAACATTCGCCTGTTCACACTCCGTCCTCCAATTTCGTGAATGAGCCAGATTAATGTAAGGATAGAATCAGAAGGAACTTGAGCAAATACCTAACCACTGAGCAAACAGATCAAATCAGCTTGATTACAGTGGTTGTTTCACTAAGTGAAAGGAAGTGAGTGAGCTGTTCATGGCTAAGTAAATTGAAAACATTCAACCGCATGATGGATCGGTCGGAGAAGACACTGGGATCCTGAAGATAAGCGGCCCGTACTCGCTACTCACAGACAGAAGACAAAACCTAACAAGATCCGACATGTAGTAACGAAACGAGTCCAGCATCGAACATAGGCTGTGGACAGCTTAGTAACATAGCGTTTGCGAGGTATCCAGGATACAGCAAGACAGATTTGGAACAAATTTCCCCAGTAAGGTTACCGATTTTGACCTTGTAAACTTATCAGTTTAAAGACAGGATTGACAACGACCAATATGAATTCATCATCATCATCATCAACGACAGCATGACATCAGTGTTCAACACCGATGCTTCACTGCCGTACAACCATGACTTATTTGAAAGCCTTATTGTAAAGAAAAGAATAAAGGTGGATGGGGGAGGGACTTAGTGCTAGCCTAACACAATCATTCCGACGTGCCGACACCTCCAGAAATTCAACCAGGCAATCTGGACAGAAACCGACAACAAGAACGCCACTGACATCGGTTGGCAGCCA